AGACAGGAAGGCCTGGCACGATATGGTTTATGGGGTCACAAAGAGTCGGACACGACTTAACGACTGAACAACAACAACAGAGCAAGCAAATCTCAAATGCCTATGCTCATTAAAGTATCCATTTTCCAAAAATAAAATTAAAAAAACTATCTATAAAGGTTTGTATTTTATATGCTAGGAACAATGGTAACATTGCTTCTGAATTGTCCAAAATATGTTGGATTGTCTGAAATACATTGGGTTACTATATAATAAATTATTTCTTACTGGATCTGCTACATGGTTAACACTGCATCTTCTTTTTAGGGTTGACAGCCCTCAAGGAGGACATGAAAGAAACAGGTTTCTCCTATTCTTTGCCTATTAGCAACTGTCATTGATACTTGATTCAATACACTTTTTTATTTAAATATCATATCTAACAGACCTATTTGTCATAAATTTGTCTAGTTCCTTTTTAAAGGCATCTTATCAATAACCTCCAGTCTATGTCATACAGCAAAATTTACACTTATATTTTGTATGGAAGAGTACTCTGTTTGTCTTAATCTACTACAAATCAAATTTGTTGGTGATCCTGACTTAAAATGAGACTCTGCAGAAGGCTGAGGATATTCAAAGACTGCTCAAATCAACAAGTACTTAAGAATCTTCATGCCTATCAAGAGAAAGTCTACTGATCTTCAGGAACCCAATTCTGTACCTGCCAGTTCCAGTGAGATAACTAAGATGCTAAGCAGAATGGCCCATAAGGTTAATGTAGTCTGGCCTTCATTGTGAAATGTTTGATAAGTCCTGACCATATCCCTAGTCTTTTATTGCCACTGATTAATTATACTCTTTGCCCTCAGAAGAATTTTAGCCTAACACAAATGGCCAAACCGAAAAGAGCAGCTCTTTGCCAACAGCACCACCTCTGGGTAAATATTAGGGATTGCATAAAAATGGAATAAACAGGAAAATCAAACACTCTTTGTTCCATGGCTATAGCTTGATTCACACATAAAATTAATGATGTTTATTTTTGGGTTAGTGTAACATCCAACCCTATCTATTAGGGGTATGTGCAAACCAGGATACTATGGCTTGTTCAAAAATCATAACCTGCATAGTGTTGTGTGTAAATACTATAAAAAACCTGGGATTGAGGATTTCTAACGATACATCTATTAGGAAAAGGAAAACTCAGAATGTTGCAATAGGGAATGCACATCATTATTTCCACACACTACAAACTACCTGCAAATTCACACATGTTCATCCCACCATGAGTGAATCCTATGTTTACTGACTTCTTATTTGTTGTGTGGACCACACAGCAGCGCTGATCCTTTTCTACTGAAACACTGTAGACGTCCTTAGGATATGGCAGGTTTCGGATCCGCCACTGGAAACTGCTATTGGTGTCTTTTCGCATAAAGACAGGCTAGAGAAAAGATAAACGGAATTCAGCCCAATGTTGTTCAATTAAAATAGACAGCAGTTGTAATAACTTTACTGCAACAACATGAACACTGTGCATGCAAGTGCTGGGCTGTCATCTAAATTGAAGCAACACTGATGCCAGGGTCTGTTCAATACCTTCCCCATGTGCTTTTCTTCATTTATATAATACATTCTTTAGTGGGAGGACTGTCATCCCAGATACACAAATTAAGTTTTGGTAGAGAGGAATGTAGATTGAAACAAAAAATGGATACAGATCAAAAGTGGTCTCTTACAAGAGTGAGAAAAGTCCATTTCATAAGAAACTGCAATCAAGCAAAAATTCATTCAGTAAAAGAACTACATGCAAGACATAGAACATGCTTCATACACATACATGGGATAGTTCAGGTATTTGTACATATATGAAACATGCATACTTCAATTGGATATTGAATGAAGCTGAACTGTCTTGTTCCAGACAAAAAGGGGAAGTGTACAAGGAGAAAGAAACCAAGAACGCTGCCAGTGGCTAACAGGAGGCAGGGAGAAGTGTTGCAAAAATTGGGGCAGGTGGACTAATCAGATATGCTGCACTGGAAGCTGCAGAAGGGAAAGGAAGGGGAACATGCACCAAACTTGATCTACATTCCCATAAAATCATTCTGTAATCTCTGTAGATTTTGTTTCAACCAAATCCTGGAAAATCAAAAATGCTCCAGGTTTTGTTTCTACTAAACCATGGCCCACCCACAACATTTTGCATAACTTCTGAAATGTGATGTGTTGCGAGTTCAAAATAAAACACATTTTCTGTTTTGTGTATATTCCTCGGGCATTACTTGCTGCAAGTCAAGCAAAAATATCACAATAGAGAACATCCAGAATTTTCCTAAGTCTTCCGATTGGAAAGAGTTGTTAACTTTAAGGCAGAGCCATAAGGCAGAGCATAGATCTTTTATAAAAATATCATCTAGCTTTTGGTATCTTTGGCTAAATTATGGCCTGTGTTATGGAATACATTGCTGGTGGAATTGAAGCATGCCTCCTCATTACAATTTAGGAAAGGGCTGAAAACATATTTACTTCCCAAGGTCTTATAATGTAACTGTTTTAGCTGATATGTTTTGTATGTTATGCTTTATACATGTTTTCATAAGTGTTTTATTGTACTTTTTAAGCCATTCAAATTGCCCAGAGCCATAAAAGGAGTGGAGAGCATTTACATTCCCTAAAGCAATCAATACATCATCAACCTCAGCAATTTTAAGATCTGTGGACTTCAGTTCCCAGAATTCCCCAGCCACACATCTTAAAAGTGCTGAAGTTGAGAAACACTGCACTACACTATATGGGACAACACAACACAACGCTACATCTGGAAGCACACCAGGCACAGTGAATGGCAACCAATCCAGTTCTATAGATTTTGCTTGATTGAATATGGGAGCTCCTTTCTGAAGATAACATCCATTAGTTGTAGTGAAGACGTTTTCACTCTTGCAATATTTAGCTTGCTATGTATTTTGTTTAAAGTTTATTTTATCTTCTGTATCTCTGCATATATTTTTATTACTTGTATATGTATAGTATTTTTATTGAAAGTCATGCTCCCCACTGTCTTCATCTGGAGAAAGGCAGTTCCTTCTAAGGTATGCAAAATGTTGGAAGGAATGGATGGTTCCTTTCCTTTCTCTGTGTAGTGGGACTGCCTTCTTCTGCCCAGAAGAGCACTCTCAGAGAATGGCAGTGCCCCTGAAGTTAGGCTTCCCCTCCTGAAACCCCTTCCTCCTGATATCATCAGCCCTATTATGATTCATGTAGGGAATCTGACCTTGAGCCACATTCAGCATCAGATTCATGTGTTCATACTATCAATTAGTATGAATAAAAATCCAGTTTTTAAAGTAAAGCTGGGTTTGTTAAAATCTAAATCTGTTTTTTTAAAAAAATAATTCAACACATTTGCCTTTGATTTGTAAAAGATCATATATAATGACATATCACTACTATGCTAAGCTTAACACTTGCATGCTGGTATGTGTAATAATATTTTTCAAAACATTCTTATTTATTTGTTAGAAGTATATCCCACCTTTTGTTGAGGAGCTCAAAGTGGTATACAAAGTGCTCCTTCATCCCATTTTTCCCCACAACAAAAGCTCTATGAGGTAACTTGGGCTGAAAGAAAGTGACTGGCCCAAAGTCACTTAATGACCTTCCATGGCTGAGGGTGAACTTGAACATGAGTCTCTCATAAAAGACCCATATTAAGATTTTCATATTACAAAAATTTCTCTACTCAACATTAGTTCAGCTCTCCTTGACAGTTGTGAGCTTTCAGTTTAAATTTCTCTGTTTAAATCACATAGAAGCTCACTAGGAGACTTGAGGATGGTTGCTATCTCTTAGTTCAACTTACATCATAAGAATGTTGTGAGGAAAAATTGGAAGAAGCAAATGCTTTGTAAGCTGAGCTGAACTCCTGGAGGAAAAACATGAATACACATTTAATAAACAAACAAATCTTAATATATAGGAAAAGAATGGTCAGAGGCAAAGTAGAAAGGAAGAGTATAATGGACATTTCTAACATTCTGGATTAGTCATGCAAATTGATATAGGAAGAAAGTCTTACATACTATTTTCTAAATTAATAAAAATCAAGGTAGATAAATTGGACAAAATATATTTTCTCTAATGTCAAATGCTGAGATATAAATACTGTATTTACATTGGTACTGCTCTCCTTTATGAGTTCACGGTCCAATGCACCTGCTGCAAACAATTTGGGTTCTCCCACTTCAACCTCCCAGTTGCCATATGCACCCAGGGCATTCTTCTCTCTCCATTTTCTTACTGCCCAGAAATGACAAGGGCAAAGAAAAAAAAATAGATTTATTTTTTCAGGAAAATAATCTCAATTAGGATATTAACAAAATAGCAAGAGATGCTATGTGACTGGAATACAGCAAGTTAGGTCAAGTTACTTTTGATGTCAGTTTATTCTTAATTATGCCTGTTCCCTTTTTGCAGAAAGAGAATACAGATGCGTCCTCAGGTTATGACCACTCATTCAGCAACCATTCAAATTTGCAACAGCACTGAATGAGGGGGATTTAGGATGGGTCCTTGGAGTTCTGGCCGTCACAGTGTCTCCACAGTCATGTGATTGCAATATGGGTGCTCAGTGCCTGGCTCGTGATTATGTTGCAGTGAGCCATGGTCACATGATCACAATTTCCAACATTCCCTGCCGGCTTCCCACGAGCAAAGTCAATGGGGGAAGCTGGCAGGAAGTTGGAAGTCGTGGTCGCATGAGGTCCTTGCTTAACTATTTGTGCGGACCTCACTTAACAATGGCAACCAGGACTGCCATTGCTAAGTGACATGGTCAAGTGACATCACACTTTACGACTATGTCACTTAGTGACAGCAGTTCCAGTCCAAATTGCTGTTGCAACCCAGGGACTACCTGTAGTCTTCTATACACATTAATCACATGAAGAGGATCCATGTGGTGAAAGAGCATTTAAAACTGCTGGCCCTGAGCTTCAACATGTGCAACTTGCTAGCTTTGTCCTGATGGGCTGTATAGCATTTCAGATGCAAAAGCAAAATATTGCTTCAGAACACAGAGCATCTGCATGCAATTTGTTAAATCACATGCATATTTCCCTGGGATTTTGCCATAGTTGAATAGGGCAACTGCACTATTCTGGGAAAAGACATAGTTGTTTACAGGAGTTGCAGACAGGTGTTTTACAAACATGCTAATATACTCCAAAGCACTTTTTTTCCTTCAAATCTGAAACATTGCAAAGTCTTAGTCTAGTTGATCCAGGTTCCAGTCTTATAGATGCCAACACACATTGACAAACTTTCCAGTTCAGATATTCATGCTCAGGGCACTGGTTTTGGAAGTGCTACTGCACATTGTAAAAAATAGTTTAAAAGCAAACAACCTGAGTAGTCTATTTCCAAAACAAGGGACAGTTGGAATTGTCCCTCCCCCCACCAAGAATGGGCTGGCAATTCTGTTGCTAAGTGATGCAGTCATTAAGTGAAATGTCACATGACCACTATCCTTAGCGATGGCAATCCTGGCAATCCAAGTTACTGTTGTAGAGTGAATCCCATGCAGTCATTAGGTGAGGACCCACCTGGATCCAAACCATACTTGGAAAAAGATAAGGGACTGCCTCCAACTCCCCTCATCCCCCTATCTCCCCCCATCTCTGCCCTTTCAGCTGCCTGCCTACCTGCTGCTGCTGCCAGCTGCCCCTGCCACCTGGTCTTGCCTGCACACCACCCCACTGCATGCCACTACTGGCTGGGGCCTTCTTTTGCGCCAGCCTTCTATTGCATGCCAGCCAGGGCCTTCTTTTGCACGCTGGCCAGGGCCTCTTCATGCAACAGCCAGGGCCTTCTTTTGCAAAAGGAGGACCTGGCCAGCATGTGAAAGGAGGCCAGTGCAAAAGAAGGATCCAGCTGGTAGTGGCACATGGGGCAGCACACACCCACCTGCCCATAGCTCTCATCCACCGGCCTGCGGGATGTTTCCACGCCACCTCTCCTGCATGTGGCCGGGATGGTGAGCCCAGCAGAGAGGAGGCAGACAAAGATGATGAGGGGGCGGCAGGGAGGTGGTTGTAAATGTGGTTGGGCCTGAATTTTGTTCACATGATTGCAGGAGCATTTGGATGGCTCGAACTTCAAGGACTGATTGTAAATCCCTTCATTCAGTGCCATCGTAACTTCAAATGGTCACTGAATGAATGGTTGTTAAATGAGGATTACCTGTATACACATGGGACAGAAGGGTGCAAGAATTTAAACTTTGATTTCACAATAACTAGGGCTTGCATTTGATCCACAGCATATGCTCAAATTCTCTCAAAAAACCCCTATCACAGTGTTGTGCCTTTGAATCCCTGCTTGCATCTGCTTGTATAGTTTTGTCAAGAGAAGTATGACAGAAGCCTGTCACAATCTCAGGAGCAATACCAATATAATCAGGGGATTAACTTCTAAGTTTTATCATATAGTACAAACTTCCCTGGCTCAGACATCAATGCTTAGGGTTAATGCTGTGGATAAGGAAACAGGTAAGGTCAGGTAGCTTAGCCCTGTATTCTCAAAGGCCAACATTGGTTTCACTGCCCTTTCCTAATATGGGTCTCTTTCATGTGAGTAACATAAAGTTTGCTTTACTGACCTGCAAAAGGTGCAAGATTATTAAAGGCCAAACCCGTATTTCGGATCTACCTGTACCATTCACATTTCCAATGTTTAACTAGAAGCAAGTAAGGTTGGCTGGCTTACAGAGCAGCTGGTGTGTTTTCAGGTCATACTCTTCTGCCATCTCCTTTCCATCCTCAAACAAGTAATGGATTTTTCGTTTACCTGAAGAGAGCACAGGATGGGTGGGCCTAAGGAAGAGAAATAGGAGGAAGTCCCATCCCGCAGACTCAATATACACTTTCCCCTGCTTGGCCAGAGTGGCTTTTAGAGACCCCGAATGCCCTACAACCCTCCATTCAAATCATCCAAATCTATTCAGTGCAAGTTTTGGTGGAAGTAAACACCAGTGTTAACAGTTGGTTTCCACATGCACCCCACAGTGGCGAATACAGTCCAGTTTGACATAAACAGACTCGGGAATGTTTTCCACTACTTAAAAAAAAAGCTTTTAAGAGATTTAAAGTGTGATCTTCAGCTGATTCCTACTAGTCTCCCTGGGGTCGGTTCGCCCAAAAGCGAACGCAGCACGGGGCTACAGCCTCCTCGCGCCCTGGAGGACAGAACTGCAGGGCTTCCCCCATCGAGCACCTTAGAAAGCTCCCCAACTTCATCGCTGCCCACATGCCCATGACCGGCAGGTCATTTCCCCAGATCACCATAATCCCAGCCCCCCGGCCCCATTACCATCCGTGAGCAGGGCGGTCTTGCGAGCCGCGCGCAACCGCTCCAGCCAGCTTGGCCCAGCCATCTTGCGGCTTTGCTAGGTACGTTACCAAGGCAACCCTCCTGGTCTTCCGGCCCTTCGGCCGTGACACGGAAGAAATCGCCGCGCGCACGTCGTTCTTGCGCCAGAGCGGTACTGTCGGTAAGTGAACGTTACCATCAGTATCGTTCTCCTCGGTCTCCCTCTCGCCGTTGCGCAAAGGCCTTCCCTTCTCCAGCCAGAGGGGCAACGTAGGTGGATGGGTGGGATAAGACAGCGGCGCAGGGCGGCGCGGTTGCCCCGCAATCGCCTGGGAAAGCCGCGGCAGGGGCGGCGGCAGTAGGGTGGAGAAGCACCGCGGTGGTTTGGCGATGGCTGTCAGGAATCTTTAGCTCGCTCTCTTCCCGCCTCCCAACTTCGAAGCGCTTAAATTGGTGGTCTCTGGACTCTGATGAACCGAACCCGGGTTAGTGCAGCGCTCCGAAGAGACGCAAGCAAGTTTAGGGTCTCCGCACTCCCTCTAGGGCGGCGTCCCACAATTTGCATTGACTTCAAGTGCTGTAATCCCTGGCCGGCATGTCGTGTAAGCCAGCGTTTATGGGAAGTGCATCTGAGTAACACTAAATTAAGAAAGGCTGTTCTGGGGGTAGGCGTGGGAGATTACTTTTAGACACACTTTTATTTTAAATCAAGTTAATGCACTGCTGATATATTTAGCTTCAGCTCCTGACCAAATTGTCCACTGGTTCTAATGAAGAACTGTGCCATTTCGTTTAAAATATAACAATGACATAATACTTAAAAGTAAAAATATTCATATTATTATTGCTATTTTTAGCTGCTATACTTTTCATTGGTGGTTTTCTCAGAGGCTTTGATCACAATTTCCAGGATAAAAATTGCACAAAATTAGATTCTCCAGTGAAGTATTTTGCAACTCTGGCAGTGATTTCCAACAGCATGGCTACCCAATATCCTTTTAATAAAAGAGGTTGAAAATTGAATCTGGAATGGAAGAACCATAGCTTACAGTTTTTGAGCACATGCTTTGTATGCAGAAAATCCTAGGTTCAGTCTCTGGTGTCTTTAGCTTGACCAGGAAAACTGTCAAAAAGAACTTAGCCCAACAGTGTTGACATCGCTGGGCTAGGTGGACCAGTGGTCTGACTCATGATGTGGGCTCCATATTCATAAAATATTTCCCAATTTAAAGTCTGTATTTATGGAACATAAGCACCATATTGTACTTGCTCCCTCTAAATTTAGGGCTCTACTCTTCTAAAATAAGGCCAACTAGACATTTCAAGGAAAGTTACATTAAGGACTGTATCATATATGATACCTTTCCTAAACAGGAAAACAATATACAACCATTTGCTTTCTAGTCAAAATTCTTCCAAGCTAGTTTTTTTTTCTACACGCTATCCCAAGATGATCTTGTGAAATCCCATGATTTTCAGTAGCACCCATATGCAGATGATATCCAACACTGATTCTCCATCCCAGAGTTATTCCCTCCATGTTTCCAGCTGTCTCCTTAACATTTCTGCTTAAATACTTTTTTTTTTTTTTTTTGCAAACTCAACTTCTCTGCTTTTCTCCTTTATACCCAAGTTGTATTACTCCCCCATACAGCATTGCAAAAATACAGGCCTTTTGCAATCTTCTCTCACCTGCTTACTTACAGTTGTTCTCTCACATCTGTTTGTGTTATGATGTCAGAATGATTAACTCTTACTCTGAACATATAATGGCCTTTTTTTTCAATCCAAAGACAATTTTGTTATTTTTTGGATCCAGTACAAAGGCTGTCTTCTTGTTCTTACCATGTACATTCTCCATGGCTTTGTTTCTCCCTTTGTCCTTTTGAACTTTGCTCCTCCAGTTACACTGCTACTAGTCATTTCAAGGTCTACTACTACCTCAAAAAATGCTATTTATGCTTTGCTCCTTCAAGTTTTTCTCATGGCATCTGTGTGACACCAGCATAGTTGTTCTTTCCAGTCTTTTTGGACCCCACTTTTCTGGAGATCTTTAACTCAGCTCTTTCGCTATTCCTTTAATGCTGCAGCAGAGTCTTTGGTTGTAGATTCAAATATAATCCTCTTTGTTTATTCCTGCTCTACTTGCCTTTTTTGTTGTTGTTCTTGGAGTCACACTTGGCATCTGCACTAACATTTGAGGGCATTTGCTGAGGCCCATATGCTGTGAGGGATAACTTGCCTACAAAGAAAATATAGCAGTAGCATTATTGCAGCTGCTAACTTCCCATCCAGTCTTTTATTCATGGGTTTGGCTGCAGTATGTCCTGATGGCAGCAATATTGTAGTGAGTTAGGGAATTATTGACTTTTCAGCTTTTGACCCGTTACAGTGATACCCACTGTATGAACCACTATGAATGTGAATTTAGATTTGTGCCCCCATTTCCTAGCTTGTTTATTCAATCAGTCATGGACACTTTGTAATGGACCAAAGGTCAAGTATCTGCTTGATTTCTAGTCCATTAACAACAATGGTGTCACTATGTAGCGCATGAGTGTCAAGAGGAAGCTGGTGACTTCAAGAGCACCACTGTTGAAGAGTGGGGAACTTGCAGCAATAAGTTACAGGGAGGTTTGATCAGTTTCTTGGTATCAGATTTAACTCTGTAGAGCTGATACTGTTACTCTGAACTGAATCTTTACGCAGTTACATTACTCTGAATTGAATCATAATTTGTGACTTCGTGACATGGGTAGGGCTCTCATATTTTGTAAATCAAGGATCAGAAACCTGTTGTTTTCCAGGTATTGCTGAACTCCAGTTTCCAACATTTCTAATCGTTGACCTGCTGGAAACTAGAGTTCAGCTACATTCGGAGAGCCACAGATTCCCTAACCTGCAGTAAAACATTCCCAGTATAGGTGTGGTAGAAAATATATAATAAAGTGACACCTGCAAAGACATGTCAGGAAACGGTGATATATAATTACCATGTACATAAATTGTGAAACATGAATTTTATTGATCTTCAGATGTATTAGATTTGGCATGGTGAAGAGGATACATTTCTGTGAGTGACTGAGTGGGATATGTACCAGAACTGTTCATCTGCTCTGGAATGATGGAACATTGACAGAAGGATACCTGTTGTTAAGGGTTACCTGTCATTAGAGTACAGTGTTATTTTTACTTTTCCTTCTTACATCTTCAGCAAGACTGCATACCCCTGTTAGGGAAGGAGGCATCTATGACCTATGGAACCTCAAGGAATTGTCAAAGCTTTCCCCAAACGAAGAAAGTTGAGACATGATATACAGACAGTGCCTTTAAAGATTTGGAAAGAAGAAACCAGGAATCAGCAAGGTGAGTTTTTTCTTTCTGACTCTAGTCATGTGAATTTATAAGATGGTGTGGCTTGCTCTGCTGTTAATTCCTGTGGTTTAATTTTATGGTAAATTGTTGCCTTTCAGGGAAATGACTTAACCTTTGAAAAGTTCAATCTCTACAATGCAGTGATATAATAGTGACTGTATGTTATAAAACCACTAGCCTTCGCTGTGCTTCATCAAGTGATCAGATTTCCTTCACTCTGAAAAGGTTTGTAACCTAATTCTATCTTGCTGATCATCTTTCTCTCTGGTATTTTTAGCAGGGTGGTTGGAGCCAATCACAGCTTATGTGTTGCAAGCAGGAATTGGCCAGGCCAGGGCTGAGATCTTCCATAAGCAAATCATCCACAATGGAGGACATATCTGCAGCCAGCTTTCCCCAGATGTAACACATGTCATAGTAGATGAAGACATGGATTTTGATCGGGCTTTTCGGCTCCTCAAACTCAAAAGGTTGCCTCAGGGATTGCAACTGGTTAAGGCATCATGGCTAAGTTCTTGTATTACAGCACAGCAGATCTTGAACACTACTGGCTATAGACTCTTCATCCCAGAGAAGTAGGTCTTTCTCTTAAACATTTTATCCTGTTTGAATGGGGAAAATTTATGCAAAACTGATAGTCCATCTTCAAAATGCAAAAGAAAAAAAGAACTTTATTCAATATTTTTAGTATAATCTCAAATATCCCATTCTTTGGTAAAGTGATTGAGAAAGTGGTGGCCTTGGAGATCTGGATGCTGATTTTCTGAAGCCATTTACTTGAGATTCCATTTGGGATATGACACTGAACTTATTTTGGTCACCATAGTAGATGAGCTAAGAGGAAACTATATGGGTGGAATGTAATCCTGCTATTTACCTTGGACCTCTCAGCAGCTTCTGATACCATTGATCATGGTATCCTTCTGGTCAGTGGGTTGTATGGCAAGGTTAGGCCTTGGGAGCACTGTTTTGCAGTGGTTCCGGTCCTTCCTGTCAGAATTATCCCAGAAGGTGATGCGGGGAGACTGCTGCTCAAACATAGATCATTCACACATGGTGTTCTGTGGGATTCTGTCTTCTCTGCTGTTTAGCATTTACATGAAACTACTGAGGGAGTTAAAAAAAAATTAAGCTGAAGATTTACTGGATATTTCAGCAAGAGAGCAGTCCAAAACATGCCTCTGAATCAAATATGTATTTCTTATTAAGTACATATTTGATTTATTTGTTGATTTGTTTGAAATGGGCTTCATAGTCCCCAAAACGTAAATATTATTATTGAATATGTGTGAGGAGATCTCAAACATACAGCACGCATAAGGAGACCTAAGAATGTTTCTGAACTAGGAGAATTCTGCAAGAAAAAGTGAGGAAAAAATTCCAAAACAAGAATAAAACAGCTTAGCTACAGGAAAACATTTGGAAGCTGTAATTTTGGCTAAAGGAGATGATACAAAATATTGAAAGGACACCCAAACTTGTGCATTGGCTATATTCACTGTTTTCTTACTTTGAATTTATCAACAACTGCACATAAATAATAAGTAAGCATTCAAATTTTCAGAAAAATATGTTTGATTTCTGTTACCTTATGAATTTGCTGAAATTTTATAATTTGACAGGAGTGCCTAAACTTTTGCACTGAACTGTACCAGTGTGTGGTTGCTATGGTGAACAGTGTAACATAGTTTATGTTACATTTATGTTACATTTGTATAGCCACCCAGAGTTGCTTTGTATGAGATGGGCTATATAAGTGTGATGTATAAATAAATAAATAAAATAAATAGTTGAAAGAGAGGCCAGTGGTATGTACAGGAGGCCCAAGAATACAGAAGAAAGCTTAGAATTGGTTCTGTATCATTACAAATATGTAGCTGTGTGACAAATAGAATGCAAGTGTATATGATATTTTCATCTCAGCATGTGCCTCTTTAGTAGTTAAACATGAAACATTTGGAAATCAGGACAGATACTTCACTAAGACAAGCTCTGAAAAAAATCACATGTCTTTCTGAAGAATATTTCTCAAATGAATTTCCCAGCCCTGTTATATGTTGGTCTTAGATTGTCTTTAGTTGGTAAGAGGAATGCCCCAAATCCAATTATACTTATTTGTTGTCTGTTGATTCTTGGCAGATATCTGGATGTGACAGGCTTTTCAATGGGACACTCACCATTGCTGGAGGAGGAGAAGGTTCACCCCAAAGCAGAGAATACAGTTAAGGAACTGAAAGCAGAATCAAACACAGAGACCACCTCTTTCTGCAATACAGTAAATTTCTTGGATCAGCAGGAAGCCACACAGGTGAGCCTGGTTAGTGGTTTTACACATTTTGTCTTTGAACATTTTTTAGGCTAAGCCAGGGTTTTTCTGTTAAAGGTAGCCAGTGCCAAACTCCATCTAAGGTTTGGAAACACTGTACTATTTGGGGTTGTGAAAACAAATTACTTGGTTTACACCTTTTTTAAAAAAAAAATCCAAAAGGTTTTTTATTTATACATTTTTATTTAAATATTTAAATAAACAAACCAAACTGAATAAAAATTAAAATATCCTTAGTAGAACTAGGCTCATAAAACATGTTTCTTTTATTTATTTTATGTTTGTTTTTCAAGGAAACTTGATTTTACTCTATTTGAAAATCACAAATATAAGGAAATAAGAAAATAACATTTAACAAATTATTTCTAGAAGGATATATTCATGACATGGCATCATGCAGCTCTCTTTCAAAGTATACTGTTGTTCGCTTTAACGTTTTTGGCATATTATATTCTTTCATAATATTCTAGTTGCATCATATATAGTTCCTAAAGACCTCCTTATAGTATTTTGACCACACTGAATAAAAAGTGAGAGCTATTGTTCAATATTTTTATATTCTGAGCTTCCCAACAGAATACCCAATGTGTGTTATATGGAATTTTGGTGCCTCCTCATGGCTATAGAATATGGAGGTGGCAAATACCTACTAACTACTATAACTTGGAACAAAATATTATTCATTATTACTTTTCACCACCGCTTTAAAACATAGAGCATGTTTTTGGTCATCCCAGATATTGTATTTTGGTCATCCCAGATATTTTGCCATCTGTGCTTCCTAGTTCTTGATCACTGTTACTAGGGGCATAAATTGTAGATATGAAACTGCTAGTTCAGTTGATATTTGCTTTGACTCTGGGCTTCGGTGATTATTTCTCATGGGTCTTAATTGTGCTCTGTATTTTGTTTTTATTTTTATTTAATATAATTTTTATGAAGAATTTTTTAACAAGATAAAAGCAATACAAATATTAGAAAAGAAACAATGAAAATAAAGAATTGTGCTCTGTATTTTAGAGTGTTTATATATTGTTGCAGAATGAACTCATATTTTGTGATTGGATAAATGATCATTATATTTCATTACTACTTCTTCTGCTTGTTCTGTCTATCTCAAAGAGTATGTTAGATGATGAAGAAATTGTAGAGGACAAAGCTGTTGTCACTCTGGAAGAACTGAAAGCACTGAGGTCAGGCCAAGACCTGAACACTTTGTCAGAAGACTTGTCAGTGTCCCTTTCTCGTGGCAAGTGGGTTTGTGCTCAGTCTTCTGAAAGCAAGAAAAGTAATCATAATCAGTGCATTACAGAGAAGCTGGAAGTGCTGGCAAAAGCCTATTCTGTCCAGGGAGACAAGTGGAGGGGTCTAAGCTACTCAAAAGCTATTAATGCACTCAAGAGTTATCATAAACCAGTCACATCTTACCAGGTAAATGAGACAAACCTTACCAAGCATGTCTGTTTTTCTATTATATTTCTACTTTCTCCAAGGTATCTGCACATTTCTGGCTTAGTATTTTTTTTTCAGCAGGAAAAGTTCCAGGTTGTGTTCTATTTAATGCTACACAGACAAGTAATAAGTTCAGATAGCTAGTGGCCTGCATCCTGCTTATATATCCCTATTATTCCATCCTGCTGTTTGGAAAGTATTTTACATTGTAGAATTAGTAAAAGACTAGGCTACACTTCTGATCTTTTAAAAATAGTACAGAGAAAGGCTGCAGCTGCCTTGAGATTAGGACAAAGATTTATAGGCCAAAAGTAAAAGATACAAAGAATTGTTTGTAAAATTGGCATAGTTTTCTAAATGCTAAACATGGTTTCTTGGGATTGTGTCTGTATTAGAAAGTTGGATACGCTCTAGGGATAATTAAACCCAGCATACACAAAATACTCAGAGTAAATCAGCCTTGCAGCTTTTCTTTGAACTGTTGCTGTTTCATTGGTTTTCTTCAGGAAGCCTGTATGATTCCTGGAATTGGGAAGCAGATGGCAGAAAAGATTGTAGAAATCCTGGAGAGTGGGCATCTTCGAAAACTTGACCACATCAGTGACAGTGTCTCAGTGCTAGAATTATTTTCCAATATATGGGGAGCAGGAGTAAAGACTAGCCAGATGTGGTACCAGCAGGTAATTCTTTCTCCTCTATATAGCAATGATCTCTGTGGTCATAGCTTTCTATTTCATGTTATATATCATTGCTACAAGGCACTATATATGAGTTTATATATTAGTATTGCTACTGTTTTAGTTGTGATTTATTCAGGGGGCCTTATCTGGAGATTTTGTACTGTCTATTTTATTTATTTATTTATTTATTTATTTATTTATTTATTTAATTGGATTTCTCTGCTGCCCATCTTACCCACAATAGGGGACTCTGGGCGACTTACAAAAAACATTAAAACTATAAATATATCTAAAA